TGTGTGTGTGTGTGTGTGTGTGTGTATGGCCAGTTCAACCCACCAGGGGGTGGGGCTGGCTGGCCTGTGGTGCTGGGGGATTGAACCGCGGTCCCTGTGCTTTGCTAAGCTTGTTCTAAGTAGGTGCTTTAGACCACTGAGCCATCTCACCAGCCCGATACATTTTAGATATACATAATGATCACATTCGTTACACAGAATTCTGCTGCTGCTCTTAGAGAAAGACAAAGTTAGGTTTCTGAGAGACAAACAGCCATTAATTGACCAATATATACCTTGAATTTTGTGTGTTTGGCTTAAGGCCACCTTTTCTAAGGTGCATCACTGATTTATTGACCTTAGCATACAACAGGCCTCAATGAAGCTCAGCTGGCACACATTTCTCCTCTCAAGGTATATCTCCAGTCTGTCAAGGTTGGGAATGATAGGTTCTGGCCCTAGTATGGATTGCTGATTTATTATGGTGTCATCTAACATGGCTGAAGCCCTGGAACAACAGCGTATCTTCCCAATGACCACTTTCTCCTTCTTCCCTATTCCATCTGGAATACAATTTCCTCTCACCTTTCACATGTACACGAGAGACCCAGTTCAGCTCCTTACAAGTAACAGAAGCTGACCCTCTCACTCCACCCCTAGCAAAAGGCCACAGAAGTCTCAGCCTTTTTGTTTCATGTCAGAGGATTTGGCCCTTCTGCCCTTGATCTATGTCTTTGGAGTTAATAAAGGGTTCTTTCATCTTTCCTATCTCTGCCAAAAAAAAACCTAACAGGGAACACTAGGCAGCATTTTAGTACTATACCTGGCACTTCCTTTTTCTCTCTGGTACTGGGAACTTAACACAGGGCCTTTATGTTTTATTATATTCCCAGTCCATTTTTGTTTTTTACTTTGAGACAGAGCCTTGCTGAGATGTTAAGTTTCCCAGGATAGGCTAAAAGTTGTGATCCTGGTGCTTCAGCCTCCCAGAGTGCTGGGATTGACACCATGCACCACTACACAGGCTTGGGGATCTTTTCAAACACTGAAATCACCAACATAAAGCACAGTAGTGGGACCCATTAAAATGACTGCTTAGGCAAGCACAGACACCAGGGTTTGATCTCTGGCAGCACATGCCTTGCTAGCCCCACACCAAGGGTGGCCTGATCCGCAACAGAGCCTGGGTATAGTGACTTGTATCTATAATCCCAGCACTGAGGAGGCTAAAAAAAGGATCATTATGAGTCCGAGCTGTGTAGTGAGACCCTGTACCAATCAAATATACAAAAAATTAAATAAATAAAAAAGGCACAGAAATGCAATAAAAACAGCACTAGACTGACCACAAAAAGGATCCCATTTGTTTACAACACTAAGAGTAAAAACAGAGCTCATAGGGGGCTTGCAGGTTGTCTCAGTTGTCTAAAGCGCCCGCTTCAGCAAACTCAGGCAAGCACAGGGGATCGACCACCGTTCCATCCCCAGCTCCACAAGCCACATCAGATCCACCCTTAAGGCAGCCTGAGCTAGGGGAAAAAAAAATCTTCTAAAAACAGAGCTGGCTATGTTCAGCTGGAAATCTGAGTATGAGCAAGCTATTCAAATTTCTCCTTGCTCTGTGCCCACCTATGATTGCAAAAGCATCATTTACATAGATCTGGGCCTACAAATACAGTTTAAAGTAGGTTAGGGCCAGGCAGATAGCTCAACAGCATAAGCACCTGCCTGGCAAGGCCAAGGTTCTAAGTTCCATCCATAGTACAAAAAAAAAAAAAAAAAAGTGGGTAAATTCGTGAATATGGAATTGAAGACCTATGAACATCACCTGCATATTGGAGAAAACAGATTTACTAAAGCCTCTCCCTTACAAAGTCAAATTGCCTGCCAAGGAGAAGGGCCCCAGCCCATGTCCAAAAGAAAGATAAAACTACAGAAGAGGCTGAGCCCAGTGCTTTGGCTAATACTTGTGATCCCCACACCAGATGGGGTTGAAGCAGGAGGGCTGCCAGGAGCTCAAGACCAGCCTGGACTACACAGTGCGACCCCACCTCAAAACCAAACCCCTAAGAGCTTACTCAGTGGGGCAAGTTGAGGTTTATGTCTCCATTTTGGGGGACCCTCTTCTCACCGCATCCAGGAACAGGTCAACTCTGACCTACCCCTTCCACCACTCAGAGACTTGAGAAAGTGCCAAGGGACATTTTGGTAATGACTTGGGGGTGCACCTAGCATCCAGGGGCTAGAGGCCAGGGTGCAACTAAATATTCTAAAGTGTGCAGCACAGCTCCCTACATCAAAGAATTACCCTGTCCTCAAATTTTAACACTGCTTGCCTAAGCTGTGGAACCTGGCCTCACAAATTCTGCTGTCACCTCTGACTTGAGTGCTCACTGGGTAACTGTAAACCAATACCAATGGTGAGGGCAATGAATACAATGTGTGAAAAGCCAGAATAATGAAAATATTCTCAGTATCCTCTGAAGGGGAACAGCTGGGAGCACTGGAGTGAATAAAAGAGGAAGTCATCTGCAAATCAGTGGTTTCAAATGCAAATACGGCAACGCACAAACAAATGCAGGTTAAGAATTTGGAAAAGATACTAAAATGCTTCCACTTTTGTCTTAAAATTTACATACTTAAGAAAAATGAAATATCAAACATCAAATTAAGAAATAACAGCAATCTTTAAAAAAAAAACTTTTTAAAACCTCACTTACCTTTGCAGTACTGGGGATTGAGCCCAGGGCTTTCATACTGAACTACATCTTAAACCCCTTTTTATTTGGGGTCTTGCCAAGAGGCCAAGCTGGCCCTCAGGGGTCCTACTTCAACCTTCCTTCCCAATAACTAAGATTACCAGTGTGCACTTTTATGCTCACCCAATCATGACATTTACGAAGTTATCGAAAGCATGTAAAATAGTTAAAGACATAGGGAACATTTGCATTTTAGAACAGAAAAAAAGAAAAAACAAGTTAAATATTATTATAAATGAATCTTCTCACTTTCTAGCTCACCTGTTTTTTTTTTTTTTTTTTTTTTTGTGGAACCAGGGATTGAACTCAGGCCCTTGCACTTGCCAGGGAAGCGCTTATTCTACTGAGCCATCTTCCCATCTTCCCAGCCCTCACCTGTTGCTTTTCTTTCCAAAAACCACTATGAAATGTTGCCCCTCTACCAACCTACCTTGGAGCCAGCTGATTATGGGCTGAAACCTCCACAAACTGAAATCTAAATAAACCTTCCCCACTTCAAAATAAATATAAATTAACTGACACTCCAACACTATAAACACAATAAATACAATTAAATTCAGATTAACCAAGCCAGGTGTGGGGGTACACACCTATAGTACCCACATTCTGGGAAGATGAGGCAGGACTGTTTGCCTGGACAATTTAGCAATTCAGAAAGAGCCTGTCTCAAAATAAAGAGCTGAGGATGCACCTCAGTGTGAAGGCCCTGGGGTTAATCCCCAGTAGCTAAGGAGAAAAATACTTTTCCAAGCTTTTCAAGTAATGAAACCAAATACACGTATTTCTAAATTTAATAAAACAAAATAAAAAGACTGAAAGAAAACACCATCAAAAGAACATAAATTTTTCAGTGCTTGAGAAATACCAGAAGTGTTTTAAATTAGCTCCTCCCACCACAGTTTTGGTTTTCTGAAGCAGGGTCTTGGTCTTGCTATGTTATCCAAGATGGCCTCAAACTCACTAATGTAGTCCCGGCTGGCATGGCACAAGTGATCCCAGTGCCTCAGCCTAAGAAGCTGGAAGGACAGGGGCCTGTGGCCACTCCAACTAAATTAGTTGGTTGTAAGCCTGCCCTATGGGTGATTAAGCTGGCTTGGTTAAAGGAGTACAGAAAAAAAAAATTTTTTTTGAGAAAGGGTCTTGCTACATAGCCCAGACTGGCCTCCAACTTTGGGTGATCTTCCTGCCTCAGCCTCCCCAGTGGTGGGATGAAAAGTGTGTGCCACAGCTGGGGCAAATTTTTTTAACATACTGAAATGATCCTGATGATATGGCGAGGTCTGAAAGCTGCTGCCTTAAATCAATTTAAATTCAATACTCATAAATGGGCACGAATTACGGCTGGTACATCAACTACACTTAAAATGGCCAAGGAACACCGTCATCTCAACTTTGAAAACAAGGATAAAACTTTTTTCTGCTGGGCTCAAAGTGGTTCTCACATACACCAGGCGTCACCCCCAGTCTGGGTACATCTCCACCCACAGGCTCAGCAGGCTGCAGGGAGCTTTACCTTCTCCAAGTGCAGGCGGGACAACAGCACCGGGCTGCAGCTCTGTGGGCTCTGGTTGTATGAGGGGTGGTACTTGTCGGGATGCCTCCACTCTGGGAGCCGCTGCCGGCCCCCGCGGTCGCGGTAGGTGCAGGCTCTGGCCAGCATGTCCCTGGGCAGGTGGCAGGACGTCCGCCCACACATGGTCGCGGCGCTCGCCCTGCAATTAGACAAGCTCGGGGAATGGAGCGCTGGGCCGGCCTCTGATACTAGAACTTTTTATCGTGTTATTTTGCTCAGGGTCCAGCTATGCACCCAGGCCGGCCAGGACTGGCGGCGACCCTCCTGCCTCAGCTGTCCGTGCTAGTAGCTGGCCACTGTAGTTTCCTGAAGGTTTTTGGGGATTTTTTGTTTTTTGTCTTTTGTCTCGCTATGCAGTTCGGGCTGGCCTCGAACTCCCTACTTGGCCAAACTGGTCTCGCACAGCCAGTAATCCTCCAGTCTGACCCTCCCAAATGCTGGCATTACAGGCTGCGCCACCAGCACCAGGCAGCCGCCCCTGCCGGGTGGGAGCAGATCCTCAGCCCCGCCGCGGTTCCCTGGAAACTTCCTGAAGCTCCCACTAGGCAGGGTTTGCAGGTGTCGCTCCCGCCTCTGCCCCCGGAAGTGGAAAACAGAGTCCCCAGGCCGACTCCGAGATCGGACCCTGTGGTACCGGAGCCCGCGCCCAGTCACGGGGGCCCTTCCGCCCCACTTCCGGCCCCGCTCAGTTTGCAGGATCGAGGGCGATCCAACCCGAATTCTGAGAGCGAGCAAAGGCTCAAGGCCTACGCCCCGGGGCCCTGTTCCGCCCCCTGGCACACGCCGGCCTCAGAATCCGCTCCGCGCGTCGCCTCACCGTTCCTCGGCTGGTCCGCTGCCGCCGCGGCTTCCCTCACAGCGACGCGCGCGCTCAGCTTGGGTCCCGGCCCCGCCCCCGGGGAGGCCCCGCCCCGGGAGGCCCCGCCCCCAAGCGTGCCGCAGCGTCTTCCGGAAACACCCGTGCGGCGCCAGCTGGGGCTTGTGGCAGAAGCTGCCAGGGATCGACCCCCTACTTCCTCCTCGCGCTGGTTCTTGGGCGCCCCACTGCCTCGATTCGTCCTGGTGGCTACTCAGGGTGGGCGAACTAGAGAAATGGGAAAACCGCAGGGCCCCACAATTTGCCTGACCCACTGAGCACCAGAGCAAGCCCTGTGGCTCCCCCACCCTGACACACAATCCACCGACCTCCTAGAATGACTCCATACACGGTATCAATACCTGGGTCCTCTGCCAAGCTACATCCCCGGCTTCTTACTTTGAGACAGGGTCCCACCACATTGCCCAGGCAGCTTGAATTTGGGGTAATCCTGCCCGTTGAAGCTCCCATTTTAAAAACAAGCACTTGTAATGTATTTGGGCCACACTTGTTGAGAATTGAGAGCTTGGCTCACTACTCCCAGAACCTAACAATGTGGAAATCCGGGCAGACCCCTCGAACCCTGGAGGACCCCACTTATCACCTAGGGAGGGGTGGTGAAGGCACCAGAGCAGCTACTCCTTGGGCTGGGGTTTGGACCTGGGTAGCACTGGTGGGACAGGGCAGGAGACAAACCCCAAGGATGAGCCTGCAGAAGATGCGATCTGTCCATAAATACATGCTCATTTATTGTATAGAGAGGGGATCCATTTCTTGGGAATAAATTCAAGAACGAGTCCAAGTTTTATTTTTGAAGTCCCCTTGCAGGCAAGTAGCATAATCTAGAAAAAACTAAAACCATCCTGTTTTGAAAAGTTATTTTTAAGCAATTCTGAACAAGAGGAACAGAATTTAAAACAACCATAATGATAGGTTTGTTTCTAAGTACAGTAGCTGGGGAAGTAATTTCCACAAGACTCCTGCAAAAAGAAAGGGGGGGGCAGGGAAATGGCTCAGTAGAATAAGCGCTTCCCTGGCAAGCACAAGGCCCTGAGTTCAATCTCCGGTTCCACAAAAAAAAAAAGCCAAGACTTCCGCATAGTGTTAGGAGGCCTCCCGGCCCACAGATGCCAAGATGAAGTCAACTGGCAGCTCTTCTGAATTTCGGACTGTCACCTGCATTGTCACTGTGTCCAAAAGCAACAGCCGAGCACACACAAGGATGTCATGACCACCCCAGAACAGGCCTGGTTGGAAAGAGAGAGGTAAGGCTGAGTGAGGCAGAAGGGCTGCAGGCCAGACCGAGGCTGTGCTTTGCAGCATCTGTTCAAGGCTGCACTGGAGTACAGCAGGGTGAGGTCCCTGAGTGTGGCCTGCACAAGTCACTAAGTCTCGCTGAAGCCCCGGTACCTGCAACCACAGAGCAGAGGGGAAAGGGTACTAACCATCAGTGAACTCCTGCCCAGCTCAGATGAATTCATGGTACATAAAGCCAGTATCCTATGTCATAAAGGCACTCACACAGAACAGTCCCACACAGAGCAAACCACAGAGCAGGTGGCTGCAAGTCCCAGGGGACTGAGCTGGTTCATTGTGGTCAGAAAGAATGAAGGTGAGGGCAGTCAACTGTGAGGTGTTTATAAACACTGAGCCAAAGTTTTAAAAATCACATTTCCTTCCACTGTTTTAGGAGTAACTGTATTTTTTTTTTTTTCCTTACCGGGGATTGAACTCAAGGCCTTGCACTTGCCAGGCAAGCACTTATTCTACTAAGCTGCCTCCCTGGTCCAGGTATAACTATATTGTATCCGGGAATGTTATATCAGAGGGAAGTGCAGACATGGAAATGTTCCCATAGAAAATGTTCTGTTTTTTTTTTAGTGTGTGTGTGTGTGTGTGTGGCCAGCTCAGCCCACCAGGGGCGGGGCTGGCTGGCATGTGGTGCTGGGGGATTGAACCACGGTCCCTGTGCTTTGCCAAGCTTGTTCCAAGTAGGTGCTTTAGACCACTGAGCCATCTCGCCAGCCCGCCATAGAAAATGTTAATGTGGGTGCTGCTGGTGTTCCAGCTGGAAGATGAACACTGCAGTTCCTTAAACTCTTTCATCTTCATGTATGTTTGAAAATGTCTAAGTGGAAATGCTTGAATACCTACTGGCTGTGCAGGGGATTGAATTCATGGCCTCCCACATGCAACGTAGTTGCTGCAGCCCTGAGTTCAATCCCAGCCCCAAATGCCTATTTTTGTTGGTAAAGAGCAACCAGCTGAGCACAGAGACACAGGCCTGTGATCCCAGCACTTGGGAGGCTGAAGTAGGAGGACCGCTGTGAGTTCAAGAACAGCCTAGACTTCATAGTGAATTCAGGGCCAGTCTGGACTACATAAGAGGATCCTGTCTCAAAAGAAAGAGTAGGGGGAGAGAGTAAGAAAGAAGAAGAGGAGGAGGAGGAGGAGGAGGAGGAAGAAGAAGAAAGAGCTACCATAGAGGGAACATTCCTATAATCCCAGCACTAGAGAGGATGAGACAGGAGGATCAGTATGAATCTGAGCTGAGTAGTGAGACCCTGTATTAGAAAAAGAAAGAAAGAAAAGACCAACCAGAAAGGGAACACACCTGTAAGCTCAGCACTTGAGAGGCTGACATAGAAAAATTGCCTCAACTTCTGGGCTACACAGAAAGACCCTATCCAATCCTATCTCAAAAAATAAATAAATAAATAAATAAGAGCAACTATGACTGTAGATATTTACAAAAAGAAAAGTAGACATGCCATTGAACCGGAAAGACAAATGGAAGATGGTTAACTACATTCCAAACAGAAGAAATGGACGTTGGAACTACATGAAGATAACATTGTTCACCCAGACTGGCAAAAGTCATGAAGTTTGATGATCTCCTCTGTTGTCTACAGTGCAGAAGGTATAGGATTCTTCTTTTTTCTCTTTCCTTCCTTTCTTTCCTGTTTTTTTTTTTTTTTTCTTTTTATTTTAGGCGGGGTTTCACAATGTAGTTTAGGCTGCCCTTAACTCACTTTGAAAAAAAAAAAAAAAAACCCTCACTTTGTAGCCCAGGCTGGCTTCAAACTTTGAATTTGTAATCTACCTGCCTCAGTCTCCCAAGTGCTGGGATTACAGGCATATGCAACAAAGCTCACCTACATATATAAATTGTAGTAAGGACAACTGGGAATTATGTATCAAAATAACACACCTGCAAATTTATCAAAATGTATACATGCAAAATAAAGTATGTGATTAGTTATTGCACCATCATTTGCAATAACAAAAGAATAGAAATACAACTAAATGTCCATCAGTAGGGGCCAAGTACATAAAATAGGTTATTTCAGTACAACAGACTACAAGGTAGCCATAAAAAGGGATCAGAAGTTCATGCATTTGGGATAATGAAAAAGCTCTGGATGTTGGTGATGGGAACACAATAGTGTGAATGTGCCTGATGCACTGAACTGTGCATTTAAAAATAGTGAATTTGAAAGAAAACTGTGCTGCTGTGCTGGCCCCGCCCCCAGGGTACACTGAGAAGATAATTGAGACTGGGTGTGGTGCCGTGGGGTGCGCCTGTAATCCCAGCTCTTGGGAGGCTGTAAACAGGTGAATCATTGTGAGTCCAATCTAGTGGTGAGACCCGGTAGACCCTTCACTAAAATACAAAACAAAAGCAAAAAATAAAAATAAGAAAACTGTGAATTTGTCTCAGGTGTGGTGACACACACCTGTAATCCTAGTGATAAAGGGAACCTCCAGATGATCTAGGGAGAAAAACAGATCTCCCAACCTGAAAGGTACCTGGGAAGAGTTTGCATCCTCTAAAACCGAAGAATGAATTTTAGGAACAAAAGGAGGCTATGAGCAGAATATATTTATTGAGGGAAAGAAAGCTCCTGCCCAAGAGAGGGAGAGGAGCAGGCCCCACCCCCCGTGGGTTGTCCCCAGGAAGCTCTCTCTTCCAAGGACTTTTATAGAGGAAAACTATGTGGTGAGGCAGGTCTAAGGTGGTGGAGAAGACATGGGAACTTTCAGGTGGGCATGAGGTGGGACAAAACTATGGTCAATGTAAAGGGTTAATGTGAAACTAATGTAATGAGTTAATGTAAAACTAAATGTAAAAAATTACTTTGCTCAACTTTCTGTGACTGCTTCCTTGTAAGACCGCAAGGAGGCTCGGTGTACTGTCGATAAATCATCAATAGACTGAGAGTTAGCAGAATAGGCTTACAAAATAAATCAAAGTAAAGGTCAAAATGTTTCTAACTATACAAAACCAACTAAAAAACGTTGCTATGGCAATCAAGACCACTGTACACAGGTGTACCTTAAACAAGAATTAGACAATGCCAGGTTCGCATTCTTGTATGTTTAAAATGCCACCAAAGGGAAAAAAACTAAAGAGGACAACAAAGCCAGGAGGCTGCGCCCAAGCTCCCAGGAAAAAAAGTATGCTGAGTAATGGTCATGCTGTCCCTCAAGGTACTGTTCTAAATGACAAATTTGTTTGCCAAACAGGATGCAGTTTTTACCTTTAAAACCTCTACTTCTAAGGCTCTCTCGCCATTTGTCCTCTCCTTCGTATGGTCAAACGGTCCCGGGCCCAGAAATAAAGGCTCATAAAATTTAATAATTACATTTTCATCTGGTTTCTGTGTTGAGAATCCATAACAGTCAACCAATGAGATTACAAGCACCATTGCTCAGGTAAAATTTTATTTTTCTTATTTTTTGGCCGAACCAGGGATTGAACTCAGGCCCTTGAACTTGCCAGGGAAGTATTTATTCTGAGCCATCTCCTTGGCCCTGCTCTGGTAAAATTGGTTAACTCCAATACCAAATGGGGAAGGGAGTTGCATAGCAAGCCAGGAGGGTCTTTTCCTGTTGGGGGTTGAGCTAATGACTCATTTGGGTCTTTCAAGGTGATTGGTACCTATTTAGAATATCAATCCCTGATGCCCATCCCTAGGGAAGTACGTAGCTGTGTTTCCTCTTTTGTCTTGGTCTTGAGGTCTGGCCCATGTGGGAGTGTCTG